ATCTGTGGATGACATCATCTTGTTCACCTGGTTGGTGTTTGATCTGTGGATGACATCATCTTTTTCACCTGGTTGGTGTTTAATCTGTGGATGACATCATCTTGTTCACCTGGTTGGTGTTTAATCTGTGGATGACATCATCTTGTTCACCTGGTTGGTGTTTAATCTGTGGATGACATCATCTTGTTCACCTGGTTGGTGTTTAATCTGTGGATGACATCATCTTGTTCCCTGGTTGGTGTTTGATCTGTGGATGACATCTTTTTCACCTGGTTGGTGTTTAATCTGTGGATGACATCATCTTGTTCCCTGGTTGGTGTTTGATCTGTGGNTTTCTACACAGTGATTTAATGTTTCTACAGTGATTTAATGTTTCTGTACAGTGATTTAATGTTTCTACACAGTGATTTAATGTTTCTGTACAGTGATTTAATGTTTCTACACAGTGATTTAATGTTTCTACAGTGATTAAATGTTTCTGCGCAGTGATTTAATGTTTCTACAGTGTTTTAATGTTTCTACAGTGATTTAATGTTTCTACAGTGATTTAATGTTTCTGCGCAGTGCTTTGCGGAGGTTCTGGACCTTCAGAGGAGACCTCCCGGACCTCCTCGCGGCTGCGCAGTAGCGGACTGGGTGTAGTCTGGGGGTCTGGTCTCGGATCTGGACTCGACTCTCTTCCTGCAGGAGTTTGTTTCATGGCGGCGGATCCTCCGAACTGAGCCAGAACCTCTCACCGACCCACAGCACCGGAACAGCCGGGAGAAAAGCCGCGGGACCCGGTCCGGATCCAGCACCAACCCCGGTCCGCCACTGGACTCGCGTTTCTGCGGACGAACTTTGGACCTGTTCTGCCAGAGTCGGTTCTGAACTTTTCCTGAGCCAGCAGGAGGACGGAGCGGCCCGAAACATGCCGAGTTTGATCCGAAGTTCGGTCCGGGTCCTGGCGGTCCTGGCAGCGGCTCTGACGTGCGTCCGCGGCGCCATAGACGAGTGCGTGGACGAGACGCAGGGGCGCGCGCAGCGCTGCATGCCCGAGTTCGTGAACGCGGCCTTCAACACCTCGGTGGAGTCCACGAACACCTGCGGAACCCCACCTGAGGAGTACTGTGTCCAGACCGGGGCCACCGGGGTCACCAAGTCCTGCCACATCTGCGACGCGAACGACCCCCGGAACCACCACAACGCCGTGTACCTGACGGACTACAACACCCAGCAGGACACCACCTGGTGGCAGAGCCAGACCATGCTGGCCGGGGTCCAGTACCCGAACTCCATCAACCTGACCCTGCACCTCGGTAAGACACGGGGCCCCCAGGGGCCACAGCGGGGGGTCTTAAAGTGGGCAAACATGGGCCCCGGGTGGTCCAGACAGGGTCTTCAGGGTTTAAAGGGACTTCAGGGGCCACAGATCTTGACTGGTTCTGGTGGTCAGGTCCTGCTACAAGTTTCAGAAGCAGCTGCTGGACTTGGTTCTGATGGGACCAGGTCACTGGTCTGCAGGGTTTTGTTCAGACCTACAGTTTGAGTGTTTGAGTGAGGTGGGTCCAGATGGCAGAGTCCAATACAAAGTACCACAGAGTGAAAATTGTGTACAAGTACAAAGATTTTTACCATAAAATGACTTTGTTCAAATATATAGTCTTTAGTTATGAATAGTATTAGAGTAAAACGTTTAAACTATTTGATATTTACTGTAGTATTAAAAGTATTTAGTTCTGCTACAGTCTGACATGTTACAGTCTGACATGTTGCAGTCTGACATGTTCTATTAGAGTCTGACATGTTCTGTTACAGTCTGACATGTTCTGTTACAGTCTGACATGTTGCAGTCTGACATGTTACAGTCTGACATGTTGCAGTCTGACATGTTCTATTAGAGTCTGACATGTTCTGTTACAGTCTGACATGTTCTGTGAGAGTCTGACATGTTCTGTTACAGTCTGACATGTTCTGTTACAGTCTGACATGTTCTGTTACAGTCTGACATGTTCTGTTACAGTCTGACATGTTCTGTTACAGTCTGACATGTTCTGTTACAGTCTGACAGGTTCTGCTACAGTCTGACATGTTCTGTTAGTCTGACATGTTACAGTCTG